ATTTTTTCCCATTGGTAGCTACACTCTGAGAAATATGTGGCTTGAACTGCTTCTTGTACAACAGATGGAAGGACATTATAAAATATCAGATGGCTCCCTAACAGGCTCTTTGAAATTCAAATAAGGTTACATATCCTTCACCTCACCATACAAGACCACAACAGGGTTGTGCTAGCACAGGTCTGTGTCAAATCAATAACCTGACGTGGTGTCAAGCTTATGAGAGGGGTTTAACTGTTTATTTTCATTCAGCGCCTGCCTGCAGTGCCTGTCACCACTGGGAGCATTCCAGCAAGCCCCAAGCAGCCAACACAAGGACACCAAATATAGCCTGGGACACAGCAGCTGAAACTGTCCTGCCACAGTTATTCCATTTGCATCCAAGGGGGCGAACAACCTGAGATCCATTTCTGGAGATAATGCAATAGCACAGTGATTATTCAGCAGCCAGACAAATACCTTGTGTTAGCTGACAGACCTTACTTTGGCAGCTCTGCCCCCACACATGTTCCAGGGGGTGGTGCTGTCCCCTGGGTGCACTGAAATCACTGGTTTGTCTCTGCAGACAAGAACTTCAGCAGATACAAGGCACTTCATGCAAGTGCACCAGCCCATGACACCAACTGAAGACTCAACTTTCATGAAAAAATAACTGTTAAACACACATTCAGCATTTCTGAGAATTCCAAGACTATCAGCTCCTAATCCAATCTGAACGCACTTGTTCTGGAAAGAACAGCAGATCTTTAGTGCTTTGCATGAATTCAAACCACGGGCTGTTGCTCACAGAGAATAAACCTGTTGTGTCACCCATCTGTAACAGCCATCTGGGACAGATGTTTTAAATGAAAACTGCCACAAGATTTAGGGTTCACTGACAACCTACCTTACATCTTGATCAGTTATCCCTCAAATGACCCAGTAAGAAATTACAGATCCCACCTGACTGAAGGAAGCAATACAGATACTTCACACTCGTGTCCTTTCCTGATAAAGCAACAATCCAGAAAGCATTAGTGCTGTGCCTGCACATGCTACCCCATCCCACCCAATCCCTGCTGCTTGGAGAGCTAAAGCTCCCTTGAATCTTTTATGGGCATGGAATTGTCCATACATTATGTATGCAAAGTCAGACACACTATTTGTTTGCTCCCATTTACTTGCTACCAAGAACCTTAGCTTCTTATGCCAAATAAATCACCTTTAAAACACGTTAATGATCAACAAACATTCTTCATAAAATTCTGAAACAAAATTATTAGCTATTCACATCCAAGTTCTGTAAATTTCACTGCATGTCCATCTGGCAGACATCTGCATTATTTATTTGCTGTCACACTCAGTAAATTGATTTACGGGCATTTAAAGGTGTCATCTTTACTCATTACAATTTCAGTGATCACTCCAGCACTGCCAACATTGCACCAATGACCCGAGTTTCAACTTTTAATCTCTCCTAAGATTGAATTCCACATACAAAGCAGCATATGAAGAGACAGAGGAAACTGAAGGACTAAGGTGCTTTGATTTAAAATTCATTGATCTCTACATAGTAACAATTTGGTAAGAAAGTTAATTTAATGACTTAAGTGCAATGTAGACTTTTTTGACCCCAAGGTAAACTTCAGAACTGGCAACACTGCTGTGCAAAATTAAGATAGGTGGACTTGATAGACAAGAAAGAGGAATGAGACCACATCCTTGGAAAGGATTATTGCCCTGGAAAGCTTGGGGCAGATGTGGCCACATCACCTGCCTGCTCTCCTAAGTGTGCTTTCCAGCTGTATCAGCTGCAGTGCCAGAGACCAGAACTCCATTCCTGCCCTGGAGATATTTCAGGCTGGCAAACAGCAGCAGCCCCTTGCCTCACCCCAGCTGCTGGGGGGAACCATTTAAACACAAGCAGTGCCCATCACCTTGGAAAATGCATCAGAACACAAGAGACTCAGGGTGCTCTGGACTACCTTCTAGGACACTAAGTGATAAGTGCAAGAGATTTCAAGAAAAGATGCAATGACCTGCCCCCAAGCCCCCAAATTTGTGTGCTCCAGCACGGGCTCGGGCAAACAGCTCCAGAACCATCCCCACTGACCAAGGACTTCTGTGCTTCCACTGGAAACTGAGCTCCAGCTGAAATAACACCACCTCCCCTCCTCTGACAGCCCCAGGCAGCACAAGACGGGTCACTAAACAGTGACCTGCAGCTCACAGCCACACACATACATATAACCACGGCCAAACCACAGGAGAAGTTGGAGTTTTGATCATGCCTCTCTAGAGAAAAACATAATTAAAACCATTAGGTTTGGAAAACTTCCAGCCCTATGAATCTGACAAAGACATTTATGATGATAGAGGAATAATAATGTCCAGTAAAATCCCTGTACATAAAAGCACTAAAAGTGTTTTACAGTCCAAAAACCCAAGGAAAGAACATTTAAAATAAGTTAATATGCATCTTCTATAGAAAAGGAGCAGCGTGACTTCTACATTTCATAAAGTGAAGCTTGACTTCACAGCTATCTGTATCCTATCACACTTTTCCTGTCAGACTAAACATCTCTTGTTTTGATGCAAACAGAGCAACTTTTCTCGCAGGGTATTTTTGATTGAAATGAACTCGAGGCTTAAAAAAGAAGAGTCCAAGTCCCTTCTGTGATAGCAAATTTCTGATGCTGCGATCCCCTTTGCATTGCTAGGCTTTGAAGGATGCCCAAGATAAGAAGGAATTCGTAACACCCTCCACCCAGAGAGGTGCATTAGAGTAAAGCATACTGACATGCTTGCTCTTTTTATTCTTCCATTCAGCAGGTTCTTACTTGAAGTAGCATTAAGAGAAATGTCTCATTTACTTGGAAAGAAGAAAAACAATTTCACAGTTTTTGGAGAAAACGTTTGGCAGAGTGCTGCCATCTGCACTAATATTTGAAAACCAAGCCATTCAAACACTCATAATTTACTTAATCTTAGCAAGATATTTGAAAATTAGAGGCTTTTTATTATGTTTTCCAAAGTAGCATCACTTTGCATATGGAGTATTGGATCCATCTGGAAAAGTGACACCCAAAACAACAATGCCTTTTCAAGCCCACACCACCTTGCTGTACCAGGCTCTTCATACATACTGAGCCTATGACTTCCAGAAGCTGCTTTTGGCAAACAAGGGTAAGGGGAGACAAAATCTACAAAGAATGTTCAAATGGTGACCATAACAATTATAAGGCTCTCAAAAGCAACTCAAGTATTGCGATGACTTCCTGCAATTTCTCCTGTGTATTTTAGAATCAGGCTCAAGAGAGCAGCTTAGAATACCTTTCTTGAGTAGGTTTGAGAGCTTTAAGAGGTTAAGAATTTCACAGCTGATTATACTGACAAATAATTCCAATTTTGGATCAGTCCGAGCAGTAAGCGACATAAGAAAGGAATTTTCAACACACATGCACTGGAGCTGAAGCCTCTTTGGGATTGCACCTGTCAGAGCCCAGAAACTGGAGACAGACTGTGGCCACTTGTAGTTTATTTAAAGAAAACATTGTCTGTCACCCTGCCTCTCAGTCATCACCCTGGTTTTGTTTCACATATTTGCTGTTTAAGCCTAGGAAAGGTGGAATGAAGACTTAGTTGATTTTAACTAAACAACACAGCTGCCCACTAAACCTTCTTGAATACAGCACTCTACCTAACCACAATGCTTACAACAGAGAAGAACTCCTTCCATTTTATCCTGAGCCTCCTCTGAACAGAACACCTGGAGCAAGCATCCAGGAAAGGGAGCAGAAAAAGCTCCTGGAATGATTCATTACCAAAGAAGTCAAAACCAAATACCAAGAGTATCATTAAGCATTAATACGGGCTATTCATTTTTATTATTGCAATGACATACTCAGGCTAAGGCTTTGGGAAAAAAGGTCATTGCAAAGTCCCTCTGCAGAGGCTGGAAGTTTCTAGTACCAGCCTGCCAGACCTTTACAGGCATTTGCTAAGATCTGGAAGACTACAGACTTCAGAGCAAGGTGCTGCTGTGTGTTCTGAGCTGCTGAAACACCACAGGAGGGGCACTGTGAAGCACAAGTGAAAAAGAAATCCCAAGCTGACTTATGGCCAGAAAAACAGTAGTTTTCCAGGAAAATGTTCAACACATGCATCTTACCAAGAGGCTGGATATGAACTGTTCATCCAAGAAATACTCAGCAATGAAAGATTAATGTGCACTTTACTTTAGGGGCTTTGAACATAAAACTATCATCCCACCTTCAAATCTACTTTCCCGAATTTCTTTGTGCAGAATATTTATAACGCCCACTTTCATTCTTAAGCAAACAGCAGAAAGAATATCTTCTTTGAGCAAACACGTCTGGACAGACTGCAGAAATTTGCCAAATATTGATTTTGTTAGGGATGAGCTTGAAATTTCCATCTGGTTTCAGTTTCACACTGAATGAACTTTTAGAAAGTGATTTTTTAAAACAAATGTATTATACTGCATTAAAAGAAGTGAATTAAACTACTTCAGATAATAACCTGAAACACCTATGATAATTGAGTAATTGAGAGCAGTAGGAATTTATCCTTCAGGGTAAAACAGCAGACTGGGAAAAATTATGTTTTCCTATGAGGTTCTGTCTTGCTCAGGCAGGGCCACAGGCAGACACTGTGCCTGACTGGCCCAGATGTGGTTACTGGCAGAATACAACAGGAAGTCAGCCAACTTATCTAGACTGTTTTATTCTACAAGCCTTTTCTCCAGCAGCACTTGCAGTCAGGTCTCTTCCCACTTCTTGTCTATCAGGTTTTATAAAACTTACCCTGATACCTCTGGGCTTATGTTCTATCAAACCAAATTTGGTGAATACAAATAAGTGAAGAAACTGAAAATTCAAAATATAAGCCCTTATTTCTGCTGGAAACTAAGTAAAAAAAAAATGCTATGAGGAATGCAATCTTTTACAATGTTTGTGTAAAGCATACTGAGCATCCAAGAATTACAGGAGAAGCATTACCTGCTTGTAGTTCTCTGGTTGACTAATGAGATCTGTTTCTGTGACAGAAAAATGTCCGAGGTTCTGGTCCATGTGGGAGCCACTTGTGAATAAATGGATCTGGAACAGATTAATTTAAAAGATACTTGTCAGTGCAAGGAGCAGATCATTAAGTACCACCCAACAGCCGTGTGGGTCGGCAGGGTGATGTGACCAGTGCTCACAAAGCCTTTCCCAATGGACATGTACAAGTGTGAGTGCTACCACCAATACAACAGCCAGAATGGAAAGGAGAACAGGCACCACAACCATCTCACAAAATTGTCCATCTGGTAGCACTGCCAGAACCACATGCAGGAATTGCAACCTCTGCTGCCACAGGAAAACTGAAGGTTTCTCTCTTCATCCTGTCTCGAAGTCTTTTTCCTTACAATACACATGGTTGGGTGCATGGCATGAAAGGAGAAACCATTTACACAGATAGCAGCTGTCTCAACTGAGCTAAAGCATACTCTCAGAATAATTTTTATTTCTTTCTTTTAAGTAGGAAATGCTACCTAGTTACAGTAAGGCTCTCTTTTGCTGCTCTATACTGTTGGCTTTTGCTTACCAAGACCTGGTCCCAGCTGCACTGGTGATAGTATCATCAATTACTTGATGAAGAAGCTTCCCAAGTTAGTCAAGGGAACAATAAAAAGCAATTCCTCCTATTCAGAGCTGATCCCTTTGTAACTGTAATAACTGCAGCTGCCAAACAAGATAGCAGTGCACATTTGTCAGACAATCACTCATATTTCATTAATATTTCTGCCAGAAGACAGAGAATGCTTCCTGCTTTTCTTCCTTTATTCTAATATGAACTTTATCACACACTTGGGTATTGACAACTATTTTAAAATTGACAGGCACTGGGTAATTATCCACCCTTCCATGAAACTTCAGAATATTTTAGCGTTCCTTTCCCAAAACTCACTGCTGGTGACAACCATCTGTCACATGTGCAGAGCTATGCGAGTTTAAAAATAAAAGAGCACCTCCCCACACAATGTTCTTCCTTTCCACTTGCCACTCCTCTCTCTCCCTGCTGCATTCTTGCATAACTCTGGCTGACAAACCTTTGGGCCCCCAGCACCAGCAATGAATTTCAGCCCCTTTTCCAAGGCAGGTGGCAGCAGCATCCCTGGTAAAGCCCAAAACAAATACAATAAAGCTGTAACAACAGAGGAATAAGGTGTTCCCCTGAGACCAGACTGGATGGCTACCGAAATAATCCAGTATTTGTATTTTTGCTATCTCTTACTGATGACTAATAGAAGACAAACAAGGCTTAAAGAGGGAAAGAGCACCAATGCAGAAGTGGCATGTGAGAGGGTGAGAGGCAGAATATGCCAAGCTGTTGCTCCTTGGCATTGGAATACCCCGAGACAGAGGCAGGTCAGATTTAACCTCACACTAACCTTTGCAAGAGAGCACAGGCACAGCCCCACACTCAGCACCACTTCTGGGCAGTTTCCAGCACCAATTCCTAAATGCCCTTGAGCTCACTCAAGCTGCTCTCCCTGCACAGTGCCTAATTCACCTAGAAAAGATGAAAAGGGGGCTTGCTCATGGTTCACACACATTTGCATGAGATGAAAAAATTCTAATGCATTAAAGAATGTGTTTCTGAGATCTAATGGCAAATTTACCATAGGGAAAAAAGTAAAGATTTTCAAACCAAATAGACAAAAAAATATATAAATAAACAAGGTAGCAATTCCCAGAGCAACATGGTAGATTTTTCATGTCAAGGTACAGATGCATCTAACAATTGCAGTTTAGCTCACTCATAAATTACTGACAATGAGGTAATTACCCAGCACCAGTCTCTGCCCTCTATTATTCAGAGCTCAAGACTTTGTCCTTGTCCCTTTACTCTTACTACCTCAGATACATAGATACAACCCATCTGATCCACTGCACTACATCTTATTTTATGTTGTTAACAGATTAATTATTTTATATTGTTAACATCTGAGAGGGGGCACAAGAAACCACTCCACTCATAGGTGGCAATTCCCAGTGCTGCTCTGCATTCTTACTAACAACACAACTATTAGTTTCCAAGCATATTGAAACAATTTTTGTTGCTTTACCGTGATCTGATAATTCTAGTTATGTTAAATTCTTCTTCCATCACTGAGAATTCCATTTAACATCATTTTATTCTTACTAAGCCATATGCACAGCCCATAATCAGATATTCACCTCCTTAAAAAAACAAAAAAAAAAAAAAAAAAAAAAAAAAAACACCAAAAAAACATCTCTGAGCCTGATCTAACCCTCCACTACTTCAGGATGGAAAATAACCCCAGGATATTAATCAGTTTTGCAGAAACTCATCTGTTCCTGTGTTTTTTATAACACACTTACTGTGGCACAGTGCATTTAACAGAGCCCCACCCAAATGGAAGGTTTAAACTATACAGGTTCCTTCCTGTTTTGCTGAAACCATGCAAGGCTTCTTACATTTTAAGGCAAAGTGGTAACTCAAAGAATAAACAAAAACAACTGCTCTCTGCTATGAGTTCAAGAGGGATCAGGGATCAAAACCCAGGCAGACAGATTCTTCTCGCATTTGACAGAAAGAAAAAGAACAGAAGGAACAAAGAGACGTGCCTTAACACAGTAATTTATTCTCCACGTTCCCATGTATTTGAAGGCACACCTGGTAAATATGTACCACTGAGAATTTTGAGAGAATGAGAATGGTATTACTACATTATACTTTCAAAGCGAGCCAACCTGTCCATGTCAAGAAGCCATTAAAACGTTATTCAACAGCTCATTGCCTCAGGCTGCAAACCTCCTCAGAAACAGAGAGGTTAAGATTTCCCTCAGGAAGTCTTCCTCCTACAGCAGGACATGTGTGCTTCTGTAAGCTCAACGTGCCTTCTGGGAGCTGAAGTCACTGAACAGAGCAGCCAGAAAAGAGGAACAGCCAGGCAGGCCACCTAACAAGCAATTCCCATGACAGGACCAGCTGCAGCTCCAGGGAGGCTTCCCTCTCTTGGGCATTGCAGAACTTCATCCCATCAACCTCAGGTGGCTGCAGGCAGGACAGAGTAGATAGAGGACACAGCGATATTGGTACTAAAAATACGGAGTGGAAGGAAGAGCAGTCATCTTTTGAGTAAGAACATTTTTTTTCAACTGTGTTGTGTTCTTCTCAGAAAGGCCCAAATAGAGAAAATAGCATTTCAGAGCCCGTATGAGTCACAGAATGAAATCTGCAGAAGTGTTGCCACCAGTTGACAAAAATTATAGCTCCTGATGAGCAGTAAATAAGATTGTTCCACAGCTGAGACACATAACCTGGTACGTTATTAAACAGAGAGAGTAAAAGCCGTAATTATCATTTTGTAGAGAAAGCCCTCTGTAAATCTGCCAACATAATTAAAAAACATAACACTCATTAGCCTTTTGCATACTGTGCTTGTGGTTTATTAGAGGAAAGCAGCAGCTCATATAGAGGTCATACTGGGTCAATTCAGTCTTCTAACACATAGAATAGTTTAAAAGTTTGCAAATTATTGCATTAGTAAAAGCAATTTCTCTAGAAAGAGTCAGGAAATATCAATTATTGTTTATACAGCCGTTAAATTGTGTAAATATGTTATATTTTGTGTTACCCTAAATGTTAACATTAATGTGGCACTGTAATGAAGTCTTTGCAAAATCACGTTTACCTTTCTATTCTCCTACTTTTAACTCAAACTGAAATATAAATCAGGGCACTGCACTTTATTACAGCTCTGAACAGAACTCCCACAGTTGCACACATAATACCAGTGTGGGTTCACATGTGGAGCAGTTGGGCTCAGTTCCATCCTGCTTTGGGCACCCCCAAGGTGCAGCCCTGACTGTGACAATCACCACCAGCACCACTGCTGCCTTCAGTTCCACTCATCAATGACTGTTGCAGAGGGCAGTAACGACAGCTCTGGGAACCTGGATGAACAGAGACACAATTCTCCCTCCTGCTTATTCCCCCAGATTCTGGAAATTGTGGTCCAGGGACCTGCAGCATAACTCACCTGTCTCTTGTAGTTGTCTGACTGTCCTAACTTTAGCACACATTTTGCCTTAGATAGCCAAAAAGGGGGAAAAAAACTACAAGTTTATTTCAAAGTACAACTTCCACAAGAGGGTCATCATCCCTTATCTCCCTTGCCAACAAGATTTTAGCATTTTGCCCCATCAGCACATCTCTTCATTACCTCAGAGCCTCATTTGGACCACTGAGAGTATCTCTGTTTGTACTCGAGCTCCCAGGTCTGACCTGCTCTTAATTCTTCCTTGGCCTCATTAACTGCAAGCTGAGGCACTGGAGCTGCCTAATGATTTGTTACTGTCAAGTCTCACATAAATCAGAGCACTGATGATGAGTTATGGAGGTATTTGCCTCACCTACTAGAAAAACCAGCATACCTTAAACAGAGGTAGTTTATCAGGGGGAGAAGATGCCAATCATTTCATTTGAGATTGACCTCTCCCAACCCCATCACAGTCTGTGATCACAGTGCAAAAAGCCAAGGACCACACAGGCACTTAGAGGGAACGGCCACCTTTGTTCCCAGACCAGGGAGGCACATCAGCAGTGGTCAGTGAGAAGCAAAAGGTTATTTTGGATGCTGCACACACAGCACCTGATCCCTCTTCCCTAGGGCTGTCCATCAGACATCTGCCCTAGCAATCAGTTAATGGAAAGAACAAAATGTAACCTCATTATAGTTTTTAGCACTTGCTCTGTCAGACACAGGATTAAAACCAAGAAAGCATCTTCATTCAAAGGTGAAGGTGGTTCTGACAACTTTTTGATGTGTACTTTGGGAAGAAATTTCCCCAAACCATTTTTAGTCTCAGAAAAAGGTTTTCTGTGAATGTTTTGAGTACAGTAATAGCTGGTTCAATTTAAGTTATTTAAAGAGATATAAATGGAGAAAGGGGACCTAGGGAAAATAATACATAATAACCTGTAGGACTATCTTAAGAACTGTATTTTTTGTTTCTGGAGTCACCACCACTGTCAAATTTGGGACTGAAGGCTGGTTCCATCCTAAACAGATACAATGCTCCCAGGTATCTGTGATTAGACAGGAATCTAAATTCATAAATGGGAAGAGAACTGGAACCTTAGCAGTGTAGGGACCATTACTGATTCCTGATTTAAAAGCAGGTAAATTTTGGGCTCTGCTGAGATGTCCCCTAGTACTTTAGAGAGAGATTTTGCATTTTATTTTGCTATTACTTAAAATATTTATGCTTAACATTTTGAACCCACATTTCCAGTGAACTTATAGTTCTGCATCGCTACTTCTTGTCCGGGGAACCAGAATGGTTTTTTTCTCTGTCTTGTTTCTACCAGGCATTCTGAGAAAAACAGCAGCAGCCTGTGGCTGCAGAAGTGACTAATGTGCCAACCTGCAAAAGAGACTTTTATACAATTACAACCTTACAAACTCTGAACATACTACATTTTCTCATGGTTCTGCCACACTGGGGAAAGACAGAGGTGCTTATATTCAGAGTAATTCACTCTTACCTACAGAAAATGCAGAACTAGCAAACAAGAATAATTTGTACATTTAGCTCTAGCAGACAAGGCTTTTAAATAATAAACTATGTCATAGTGAGTTAGAAGAATCATTTACCTTGTACCAAAGTTTGCATTGCTCTTGGTGCTGAGCGTGCAAACTGCACCACTGCAACCTCAGCCTCCCATTTAACCACTGCAGGTATCGAACATCCACTCTCTCTTCAGGTCCTGCTTCACTTGTGCCTTCCTGGCTGCTGGGCAGTTCATCTTCACACTGAAAGCAGGAAAGAATACCACACTGGTTTTAATTAGTTTCAATATTTTCAAGTCATTCAGTAGTGAACGTACAAGATATACAGGCCAAAGAAGAAGAAAATCACCCTAAAATGAAGTCAATGCCAGCAACACAGAGAAATTAGAATACAGGACTGGGAACAGACTAAACAAGTAGAGAAGTGTAGAATAAATATCAGCTTCTCAGCTGTAACGTGGTGAGATGTCTCCCCTCCCATCTTTCATTTTCCATACCCAGGAAGACACAGTGTTCCTGAGACAGCAAGCATGTTCTTTACCCAGATGAGAAAAACTGTATTTTGACTACATTCTAATATGTCAAAGAACATAAAAAACAGATTTAGCTCCTGCAGTGTCTTCCTGAGACCCTATTTTGTAAATCAATAACTTATATAGGGACAAAATTGTGGGCCTGTGCTTGCCCAGCTATTTTCTTTTCTCCATCCAGCACTTCCCATCTGGCAGGATTGAGGAAAAGAAAAAAATCGTGCAGCTGGCAGAAGCCAGGACTCCACAGGAGCACTCCCAGCTACAGTTGTATCATCTGTCTTGTTTGTTTTGCCTTTTTCTAGAGTAATTTGGAAGGAAGAACAGAGAAGCAAAGAGTTTCCATTTGTTCATCTTGCCCCACTTTCATTCTATTGCAAATAAAAACCCAACAACAGCCAACACCTTCATCTTCTGGATGAAATTTTTGCAGCACATTTCTGTCGTACCTCTTTCCCAGGAACATGGGGAATTCCACCTCCCCCAGCCCCTTGCACAAAGAGATCATTCACATGTACAGACATATCCCTCCATTTTCAGCTAAGATTCCTGCAGATTGCAAATTAAAAGGGGAAGAAGACATGGGTAATTTTACTTCTGATGCCAGTAATATTTAAAGTAAAGCTTTCCATTTCATGCAGTCTATAGGAATTACTCACAATAAGCACAACCCATCATTCCAAACATTTTTACCACAACATGTCATAAGAAATAGAAATAATATAGAACTGCAAAGTCCTGGTTATTCAGAACAGATGTTTGCCATTCTGAAAGGAAATGTCTCCCAGTTCTTAGACTCTCAAGACATTTCTTTTAAGCAGAAATTTTAAAAGCCTACTTGAAACATGACTGTTTTCAAGAAAACACTTAGGCAGATATCTGGACCCACAGACCTTGATGGTATTTAAACATATGTGCTTCCCTGATTCACAGATTTCCACGTTCAGTAAAATCTTCAAAAGATCCAGTTGGCAGGCAAAGCTTGAATGTAGCTCCAATTTGGATCCTAAACTAACAATGCAAACTGTAAAATGAAGAGATTTAATCTTGCCTTAAATGCAGATTTCAACAGAAGTGTGTCTACAACCATGATCAAATAACCCCCTAACACTTGTTTTAACCTAAATATCTCCAGCTGACATGGCCTCTATTACAATGAGTGTTCCTATTATTTATAAGCACAAAATCGCTGTTCTGGTCACATACCAAACAGGTTTGTTCTCTTTTGCTCTGTGGCTCAGATAAACAAATACTATAAATCACAGAGGTGCAGGGCTGGTAAAGGGCTTCTCCTTTTAAAGGCAAAGATTCATCTTTAACAACAACAACAAAAAAAAAAAGTAGAGTTTGTGCCAACTCCAGCGTTCCTCTTCTTCCTCTACTCCTTTGTCTCCAGGCTCCTAAACCTGGCACTGTGTCCTAGGACACTGCAGTCCGAGCCAAGCCCCTCCACAGTTCAGGCTGTTTTGCCCCATACAGGATGGTTTCAGGACCAGGACACCATGCAGATATGGTTACTAAGCTGTCCATTAGCATGATAAGCCAAGCAGTTGGATATTAGTCATGGCAGCAGAGAAAACCCCCATGTAAAGAACATTAAAAGACCTCACATAAGCAGCTAGAAAGCCACAAGGCCAAAGGCAGACTTGGGAATCCCAGATTAAAATCTTCAGTGTCCATAATTTACAGTCCTACTCCAACTTCCCTGGTTAGAGGTTTCAGAACAGCACAAATACTGCTCTCCTGGGGATTTATTTCAGGAAGGAATGGCATTAGACTCGATTGCTTTGGCAGTACAGTGACAAACACCATGCAGAGCTAATTTTATTGTAGCAACCTGCCTTATTAATATTAAAATAAGGAAGCCAGCCAATGCATTTTTAACAGGATCTCTCCATTATTTATTTCACAAACTGCACAAAAAATTACTTTTGCTATGAAATACTTAGCCCGGCATAAAGTAAACAAGGTAAAAAAATAAAGGTCTTGCATATTATACTGTGACCTCAATTTCCAGTCCCATCTTTACAATCTAAGACTATTTACTGCTCTCCCAGGGGGTGAAAAATCACTAAAACACGAGTCCAAGCTATAGGCTTTGCTTTGAGTATCACTGTGACTTTATCTAATCTATGCAGCAATCCAGGTACACACCTACATTCACTATGAGATACAGAAGTTCGTATTTTTTTAGTCCAGTTCACAGACAGAGAGCAGCCAAGGCAACTACCCAGAGACCTCAACAGCCTTCCCATACCTGGAATGCTCCACGCCTCTTTTGGAAGAGATCATTCCACTTCCCAGAGAAGCATTTTGCTTGCAAACTGTTTGCAGCAATTAATGCTTCTCTTTGATTCCATTTCAGAGAAGAGACATGCCTGGATCAGCTGGAAGAATTGGTGCCACAGCTTTGCAGTTCAAAAGTCACATGAGTAAATATCAATGCCCTCATCACCATGTTGAGGTTTTTTCCCATTATTGGTGATGCCTGAGCTGGTTTGGTCAAACTGGGTGATGTGGATCTGCCAGAGCACTCCTGAGCAGTATAACTTAGGAAAATTGATTAAGCATAAGATAGAATGAAACTCCTCATTTCACTCCCACCACAGCTCACCCCAAATGAGCTTTCTATGCTAAAAGCTCCAAGTACTGCTGTTAGAACTTTTCAGTATCCACTCACTGGCAAGACTAAGAAAAGCAAGCACAAGCCCAGTCAAAGTGACAAGAATATATTTACATGAGCTCTCTCCAAGCCAGTTTCTGAACTATCACCCTGCCCACACTTCAGCAGAACCAGCTCTCCTGTGGTAAAAGATCCAGGAGAAATAAACAGCTAAGCCCCAGAACAAATACACCTTCCAAGACACCACCCATTACCATTCCAGTTAAGGTAGCTCACAAACTACAAAACCTACCCCAGACTCACAAATAAACCTCAGATAGACCTAAACATGGTTTATGTCCCAAAAGCATATATTTAACAATTTCTGCAAGGCAGCCTAGAATTCAGTCTTTAAAACACAAGTTTTGCCCAAAACATTCTATCCCAAGCTATTTTAAGTCATATTATAAAAAAAAAAAGGTGTCAGATCATTCCCAAAAAGTGTGAATAGGCTTGTGGTTAGACAATGCAGGAAGTGCATAAAAAAACCCAACACTGCCAAAGTCTTCCTGGCAGAATTGTTCTGAGCAGACAAGTCCGAGATACAGTGAACTGAAAAAAGCCATCAGATATGAAAGTACTCAGAGGAAAAGAATAAGGGGTGGGAGAAAGGAGGGTGTGAAAAAGACATGGTGCTTTATCAATTTTCAGTCATATTCCATACATCTGAGGAAACAACTTGCATGCAATGTGCTTAGAGAGAAATTAAAGATTAAGAAGTTTCAACTTCAACAACAGAAATGAAGCTGTTCTTTTTGGTTTGAAATGCTGAAAAAAGCAACCCCACGTTATCAGAAATCAGAGAGCAGGTGTACCAACAGTGGATGGAGATAAATTAAACAAGTACTTCATCCTATAAATACTTCATCAAAGAACAACACAGGCACCAGTGTGTTTACAGACATGTGAGAAGGGAGCATTTTTTCCCCTACTTGCTCTATTTGAGGATTTTAGTAGATCTTGCTCTGTTCATACACTTTGAATTACTAAAACTCCAAAAACTGATATAATGCAAAATTCCTTGCAGATCCGGTGATATGCCATATGCACGACTGCAGAGGAAATACTGCTGTGCAACTTCATCTAGCCTTTTTATATTGTTCCTACTGAATCTTTAAGGCTTATGAATCCTTACCTAAATAAATTCACTGTGCCCCGTGCAGGCAATGGAACAGAGCGGCAGTGCTGCCTGCACTGCTGTAAAAGACTGCGATGGCAGGGCTGGCTCCCCCAGAGATGCTCTTTTCTGACTGTGAGCTGCCACCTGTCGGCCCAGGACAGAGCCCAGCTCATCCCCACCAAGCTGTGGCTTTTCCCAGGCATCTTCCAAATCCCTCCAAGCACCAGCTCTCTGCCTCTACATCTGGACAACCAGCAAACAATCTGCTGCTCACGCTACCCATGGAGAAACAAGGCTGCTGGAACACAGATAAGATATTTAACCCACGGATAGATGCACTAGGTCAACCCCCTAACACTAATCCTTGAGCAGAGCAACACCAAGCAACTGCCAGCTGAACCCTCCAGTGCACATTGCCAGCCCACTGCTCACCTGTACTGGACTGACTCTGGGTCTAGACAGAAAATATTTACTCACTTACCACTCTGATCTTAACTACTCTAAGCCCACAGCCTGATATCACAAAGGTGGGTAGAAGCACATTTAGATCCTCACTGCAGGGCTCAGGAAAGGCAAGGCAATCACATAAATCAAGCCAATAAAGTGCTTCTGCAGCTTTCACTGAGCGCTCGTTCCCAACCGCTCATAATTCAAACAATGGTTTTGATGTGACATAACATATGTTAACTTCTGTAATTACACATCTTTAAACAGAACAGAGTTTTTTGTTGTTTTTTTCCTAATTAAACACCATAGCCAGAAATAACAGTATCAGACATGCCTTCTTAATTAATATAGCCATATATCTATCTGCAGGAGGGGAAAATGTGAAAAAGAACAATCTGAACAGATGAATACAAAAGGGACAGCACTCTTTTCATTAATAGCATCATAAACAACACTAAATGGATTTCCTCCTAGACAAGGCATG